GAAAAAAATTCTAAATCTTCAGATAAAAGTATTACATCTATACCAATAAATTTTACAATCAAACTTAAAAAGCAGACATAGTAAAATTTTTAAATTCCTCCAAACGTTTTTACAAAATAGAATTTTTTAAAGGAATAGAAAAGCGCATTATATAAGGGAAAAAATACAGTATACCTTAATTCTGTATCAATTCTTTATTAGTACTACAGACACAGAGAAAAAATGCTTAGGTGTCTCCCAAACGCAAACATTTTTCACGTTCGTCGGTTTCACTGGAGAATGGTGTACACACCTGGCTACCTGAGCCGCAGGATCGAACAAGAATTGGGCACTTCTTAATTATGGGTCATTAACAAGTTAAAAGTTTAATATTTTTTTAAACCCTAGTTTAATGAGTTGCTTATAAGCATAATTAATATGAAATTGATAGTTAAAAGAAGTAAGTGTGGTGAAACCGTGCGGAGAAAATGCACATTTGGTCGAGAGCAGAACAGGCTGGTGATTGACATCCTGAAAGATAAAAAATAGCATCGAAACAAACATAGCAAGAAAAGGGGGCAATTGTGAATCCTTCAGCGAGAGGTTATCAAAAAGTTAAAGGCATGCAAAATCTAAAACGTGAGTAGGTAAACATACACCAATAATAATGCAATTAAGACACTAGAATACAGGTGTTGAGGACAAATAGTCCATCGGGATGCATTCATAGGAACAATTTGAGAGACAGCATTACTGAAGAGATAAGGTAACCATACAATCTTATTATGTAATAGAGGTAAGCAAAATCAAAATGTAAGGAATAACAGTTAGGCAATATTGTCATAGGGCGTTTTATATTTGCTGGGTTGTTAACATTGTAATTACAGATTTTTATCACAGAGTTTTGAATATTTCTTTGACTTTCGAAGAAGTTACGTGCCAGTTTACAGTAGACAGTCCTAAGTTGATCAATTCAAAGTTCAGTGTGAATACGATTGTTGCGAATGTACCAGAGTGAATTGGTAATTTGTCTTAAAATACAGTTTCTTGTGAACAATTTTACCGGAGTTTGCCTAGACTGGGAAGGCTTAACAAAGCATAAGACGCAATACGGATTTGTAAATGAGTAACTTATTTTCAATAGATAAAATGCTGTTTCTAGCAATTAAGGGGAATAGTTTTGCTTTACGAAGTCAAAACTTCTATAAGATAGATGTTATGTGTGAGGTCCATGTGAGAAAATTACTGAGGCTCACCCCGAGATAAGGGACCTTCTTAGCCCAGGGTATTGAAGCTCCATAAAAATGCAGATTTTTCTTTATTTTCTTGTTCGTAAACATGATGGCCTGAGTCTTGTCAACATTGCCGAGAATTTTCCACTTGTTCAGCCAAATCTCAAGTATGTTAATGTGTTCTCGTAACAGTTGGATGACTAATCCAACAAATGCACATTGAGTCAGGATCGCGGTGTCATCAGCGCACATTGCGAGCGTCGTTCATATATATATTAAGGAGTGTGGGTGCCAAGAGGGCCCCTTGCTAAGATAGCTCGGCGAGTAGAAAGTGAGCCTGAGATATGAACGACAAAGTGTCTACTGGTCAGGTAAGATTTAATTATGTTTGTGATGTAATCAGGAAAACTCAGATTGTGCATTTTGTCTGAAAGTGCTTCCAGACATACACGATCGAAAGCCTTGGAGGTGTCCAGAAAATGCCTCCTGCAATCCTTTTTTTTTTTTTTTTCCCATCCCTTCCATAATTCCCTAAACTACTCTATATAACCGATTTGTGGTGCCGAGATTTTTCCGGAATCCAAACTGGAACGGGATTGACATTTTTAGCTTCATGGAATTTGTTCAGTCTGTTGAGGATAACTGCTTCTGTAACCTTGCTAAGGCACGGCAGGAGGCTGATGGTCTGTAGGAATCCGGCTTGTTGGGCGGCTCTCATAGCTTTAGAACAAGAGCGATGATTGCTAACTTAGTCTTGAGGGAAGTATTGCAAATTTAGAATTAGGTTAATTGTCTTGACAAGTGTGAAATAGTCTTTTTCGGGAACTTCTGAATCATTTGTTTTGTAATCCTGTCGTGCCCTGGTGCTTTCTTCTTCTTGAGTCCTTTAATATACTCAAGGACTTCCGATGGCATGACTCAGATGATAATGTCAGAGCGTGGATTAGGAGAGTAACTGTTCTGAAAACTAGCGACTAGATTTTCTGTTGTTGTGTCATGTATGTTGCGGAGACGAAATTGGGATTTCAGATGCTCTGCTAATATTTTTGTTTTCTCAGCGTCAGTGTAATGGATCCTTTAAGGGGCAGAATGTTATTGTAACATTTTTTGTACCTTTTAAGAGCTTACCACCATGAGTTGTCATCCGTGGAAAGTGTGTTAACACTTTACCGACCACTAGCGGTTCAACAGCATACGCATGTCCGACTGACTGCTCAGCCGCAGATTCTTCATGTTCTAAATAACTGTCAGGACAATCTGATAAGTCGTCTAAATAAAACTTTCCAGTACCTTTTTTTTTTTTCGCTCATCTTGAAAGGTAATTTTTTTAAAATACGGTGTGAAAATGTGGGAGTTTACGAAGCAACGCACTTAACACAAGTGAGCAATGTACCTCAATACTAATAATAAAATGCAGATGATATAGCAAATGGCAATTGTTTATCGCCATGGCTACCGATTGATAAGCTATTTTTAGGTAGCCCCGAGAAACCGATAGAAAAAAGCGATTTTTTCTATCGATCGATAAGCGTTGGCGAAAAAAAAGCCAATTAATAGGCAATCGGTCGGTAGACGTTGGTGATGAAAAGCCGATTAATAGGCTATCGGTCAGTAAGCGTTAGCGATAAAAAGCCGATTAATAGGCTATCAGTCGGTAATGTGTTAAGGTTAGTTGGACCAATCTAGTTGTGCTTGGAAGGTAATCGCAGATTTGACTGCATTGCACAACTGGTTGAACATTGTTTTATGAGCAGGATTCTTTGTTCTCTGGAACATTTTGCGGGCTGCATTTCTTTGTTTAATCAGTTCAGAAATTTCTTTAGAATGACTTTTTTTTGAGGAATTAATTTTTTTTTCCCACCATCATAAGCAAACTGGATTTGTTCGGTAAACTTTTTATTAAACTTTCAATGTATTGTCAATGTCAACCGCTTGTATTGAATGTTTAGAACTTTGACGTATTTCTGCCAGTCAGTAGTGAAGTCTGTTTTGTCTGTTGTGTTATAACTGCTGATATCCAGGAGGATCCGAACTGGATTATGATCAGATGATAGTTCATCCAGAGGAACGCTGGTGTTTCTTAGCAAAAAGAAATCTGCCATCCCGGTGAACCCGGCAGTCACCATGCTGGGGTTTTAGGAGCTGCTATTCGTAATCCCGGCATGGAAGTGGCCAAATTGTAGAACACTGTGCCTGTGGTGTTTGAATTGTAGCAGTTCTATGCGTGGTGTCGAGAGTTTAGGTTTTCACATAAAATTACAAGTGTACCAATTGTGAGTAGTTTCTTTAAGTCATCAGTGATCCGTTCTGAAAGTTATCAGTGATTCGTTAGGCAGAAATACCTTATACGGCATACCACGTTTTTCTCTACTTTTTCGCTGGGCAAACACTGCATTCCCCCAATAAAGCAGTTGATATCATTCCCGTTCCCGTTTAGGGAATCTATATCAGTTTTTGAAACACTTCCATCCTCATTTTCTTCAATCATTTAATACATCATCATAATTTTTGCAGCATTTCTTCAATCTGTAATAAATTACGTGACACGGTTGCTGCTTTCTTGTACTATCACAAATCAACTATGTAACAGCAATGTGAATAGTGCTGGGTCTGATCGGAGACAATACTTTGAATAAGTTATCGAGAAACACGCTGGAAACATAAAGAGGGTAACTTTGGACGCGACTACACTGGGCATCAACGACTCAGGCGAAATAGATGAGCTTTGAGAAAGGTTTGTTTAATTGAACGGGTATATTGGACTCAGAGCGCACAATTGCAGGTTAATATTTAAAAGCTAGAAACGCATCTTGCAAGAGGCTAAATATTTAAAATAAACACAATCACGAGCCGACGTCAAATATAGACTACGAACAGGCAAGAAGCGAGTCCCTCGGTGAATAAGTTCGAATTCTTGTCATCACGTTATGACACTGTGCAGCTAAAATGGACGTTGCCACTCGTCGCAATGAGAATGTACCACCATAGTTCCAAACAGCTTTGCTTTCCACGAAGGTAATCGCTTCAGAGAACATGACTACCAATGACGTGCTAAATCTGCTCATTTTCCATGAAATACTAGCCACTTTTAGAGTTTGAGGAAGTGGCCACTGTTAAAATCTTTGTTTGACAACCTCCTGATTTGTTTGTCATCTGTTGACTGAAAAAATGATTTTCCTCAAAGTGAGTTTGGGACCGCTACATACAAAAATTATCGATGATGGTTATAAATTATATTGCTGTGATTGATTCTAAAATAATGCTCAACTAACAGTTACTCTTTTCGGCATTCAAATCGCTTGTGTTCAGCACAGTTGGAGTTTGCATCATATATGATTTCATTCAATACTTGTGAATGAAGCAGCATTTTAGTTTAATTAAAATTTGAAAATACTATGAAATTAATTTTTTTGAGTGAAAACTCATAACTCTTAAATTTAAATATTCCTTAATTTAGCTTCAATTAAAAATGCTTGAAAAATTTATTCTGGCATTAGCATTTTCATTTTGCATACAATTCAATCTAGGACAAAACTGAAACTATGGCACATTTATGCCGCATAAAGTAAGTACATTTGGGGGTAGGGGAATATGTTGAAAATGGAATGCCTCAGTTGAACTAGAGATGATTGCAAATACTGAAGCACATATGGTGAAAACAGCAAATTAATGTTAATTCATAATATGTATAAGAGGTTTATTTTTAACAATAACTTATCTAAAGCTAAATATTTTTCAGTCTTCTTCGCCTACAATTCATAAATATATATATGGATTCAATATGCAAAACTCCTTTCAGAAAAATTTTATTAAAATATAACAATTTTTATGTTATAAATAATATATTATACAACTTAAAACAGACTTAGTGTTCCACTAAAGAATAATGAAGATGCACAACATGACCTTTGATTAAAATAGAGGGTAAATACATTATTACACAAAGAAATCAATGTATTTCCTGGAAGAATGTAATTGGTTCTCCAAGTTATCACAAAGTATTAATGAGAAGGAATAAATTATTTTATCTTAAAAATTTAATTTTCTATAATCCTGACATTTATATTCTGACCTTTAAAAAATTTTATTTCAATAGTCTTTAATGCTCGTTTACAAAAAGAAATTATCAAAGAGCAAATTATTTTTCTGAGGTACAAAATCATAAGCTCAACTGCATAAAAGCAATAAGAAATATTAAAAATGGACAAAGATTTTAACAAATTTTAAAAAGTAAAATCTATAAAATCTTTTTTTGATGAGCCAACATCTTATAATTAAAGCACATCCAGCAAATTAAGATACCTGGGCGAGAAGTGTTCGGTAATGTAGAAGATGCAAATATGTATCGCAAACTGAAAATTCAAAATAAACCAAAATTAGTCTACAAATATTAAAAATTAAAAACTACCACTTGAGTGTGCATGTATACACATATATGAACATGTGTATAGATACACACATACATTTTCTTAAATTTACATGCAGCATTTTAATATAAACATGATAGCAGGAAAAAAGGCATGTCTAATATTTTGTGCACTTTATAAATATTTCACAATTAGATTTTTTCCCCAAAATTAACACATTTAGTTACAGAAAAAAATTACCTTAAAACACTTTCCCATCAAAGTTCATTTCCATGAGATCAATAAGATGCATTTTTATGAAATTTTACTGATACCTGCTAAAGACGCACAAAATTTACAGGGTTTAAGCCATTACTTTTACATTAAGTGATTTACTGCATAAAATTACTAACACATGGTGAAACTGAAAATTAATGAAAGAAATTTAGTACTTGCATGAAATAATTCTAAATAACACAATATTTTTTAAAAACTAGACTTATTCATTTCTTTTGGTAGATGTGACAACACTAATCAGTATTTTATTGCGATTCATCAAGCAACTTTTACATTATTTTGTGTGTTAGTTCATTTTGCCCTTTACTGGATCAGACATAGTGAGCCATCAGATATTTTTAAAGAAACTTCCACTCCCTTTGCTATAGTGGGATCTTTTTTCTTCTAAGTTTTCCCCTGTTTCTTGGCATGCATAAATTATATGCAGTTAGTTGTAAATCAGCGATCAATGCCCACAGCTGGTATTTAAATATTTCATGTAAAATATGAAAGAAATAACCATTAAGATTTTTAAAATGCCAACAATTTTCACAATGAAACTAAGTCTTATTTGGGCAGGCTTTCAAGTGTACTAAACAATCAATTATAAAAAGTTCTGAATTTTGATCACCATGCTATGCTGCACTGCACTGCACTGAACCACCCTAAGATTTGATCTATTGCTTTTGAAAAGTCACACCTTGCAGCACCATCCCATCTTGAAACTGAGCTATAACTGAAAAATGAATTAATGTAAAATCTTTGCAGTTTATGTTAGTGAACATGTAGAGCATTAAATTTTGTAATAGGTGTTGGTGGTGGTGTATTGAGAATACGGCAACGCACACTAGGGCTATCTGCCTAAGGGGAGAGATGCCTTCGTGGAGGACTTTCTAAGGGAAACGGGCTCATATACACTTTACACATGGGGAACACCACAAAAACGCCCATGCAGCCAGCCCGTTCGCGGGATTCGAACCTTGGACCGAACTACCAGTGTTCAGCGATTTTACCGCTCGGCCGCTGATGGGCTAAATTTGGTAATAGAAAAATTTCAATCCCCAAACATTGAAGAATTTCAAAACTTGTAATTTTTCATTTATGTATCAATTTTTCAATTGAAAGACAATGCCAAAATATGTACACACATTTATTATGTGCAAGCTAATGACATTTAATGAAAGGAAAATTTCTGCAAGATTTGTAATATTATATAAATACCCTTAAATTATATAATAAAAGTGCAATACATAAATATTGTGTCCCAAATTTTATTTTATTCAAATAAATTGCTGCTCCTGCTCCTAATAATAATAATATAATAATAAATAGTGCAGTCAAAGGAGACATTACCAGTTTTCTGCAAACTGTGCAAGAAGTGCATTTAATTTTGCTTTTACATAAACCTTTTTTGCATGAATTCAAAATAACTATTTCATTCTTTTTTTTGCACATGTGTTAGATCAAAATGACAAGTGGTTCAAATAAATTTCTTAGAATTTTCTAAGAATCTGCGATGTGTAAAAAGCAAAGATTCCATCATCCTTAATATGAATAGATTTCCCAGCATCATTATAATAGCACACACAACTGACGGAGAAAGATTCAATGATCTACCATTTGTAGATGTTGATAACAAAGCCCCAGTGAAGATGAAATATTAGAGGTTGTCCTCATCCCACAGAACATCACGATAATGCAGAAAATGATCCTGTTCTAAATGCAGATTAAATAAAAGATTGTCTCGATCTGGCCAGAAAAGTGGGTAGTCATTTTGTCAAACATGATCCTAATGAAGAACTTCGCTGGAAAATTTCAACATGAATCAAAGTTGTTGATAGCATCTTCAAGAGAATTAATTATATAGTGACCTAAACAAAAACTCAAAGACTTATTAATAACTGGGTTAATGAGTTATTAAATTATGGCACAGCACACGAGGGCTATCTGCCTAAAAGGAGGGATGCCTTCGTGGAGGACTTTCTAAGGGAAACTGGCTCGTATACACGTTACACATGGGGAAAACCACGAAAACGCCCATGCAGCCAGCCCGTTCGCGGGATTCGAACCTTATTAATAACTGAATTCGTTCATAAAACTAGTGAAACGTCACCACCAGAGAAGACTCATGCTGATTTGCTCAAGAGAACACAAAGCATTTCATGAATACAGAAAAAAGACAATATTCATAAAATTTTTGGTGACAGCAATGATACTCCAGCCAGATGCAAATTTATCAGTGGCGTAGCTAGGGTGGGGCAAGGGGGAACATCTGTCCCCGGGCGCAGCATCCAGGAGGCGCCAAATTGATGCTACGAAATTTTTTAATAAAATGTTTTCCATTCTTGGCACACAGACAGGGGCACAAATTCTTCAGTTGTCCCTGGGCAGTGGAATCCTAGCTACGCCACTGAAATTTATGCTCGGAATATTGTCAGAAAATGAGTAAAGTCTAGTTATATGAATAAAACATATCTTTTAGGGAAAGGAGGAATTCACAAAGAACTTTTTTCATTTTGAATGCAAACTTACTTTAATACAATTTCATTAATTATTATTGCATATAGAAATAAAATAAACAAAATTAATATTTTCAGATTCCCCCCCCCTAGACTGGGAATTAATCTTCTTTTCTTCCAATATGTGCATAATATCTTTTTGCACATATTCTTCAGGAATGTAAATCATGTAAAAATATAATTAGGTTTGCATTTTTTTCCTCTTTATTAAAACCATGAACCATTATTTTGCAGATTATAAGCAATTTAACATTATTTAGTCATCAGACACCAAATGGGAAAACAGAAGTAATTTGAACTTTACAACATTAATAAGGGGAAACTTAAAACTATATAAATGACTGCCTAGCCTGTTTGCCAGGATTTGAAACAAGATTCGATGATCTTATTAATTGACCTATCAATATTCAATGGTTTTATCAACTGATGGACATCTTTAAAGCATACCATGAAATATAAAACTCCTGAACTACACCAGAGGTTTCAGATTTATTTATTCTTGATAACTGAGCATGATGCTCTTAATCCTTTTTGGTAAACAGTTTTAAAACAATAAGTATGAATACTAAATTTGTTTTAGAATCAACTGAAAGGTATAAAAATATTTTCAAATTACAAGAATGTGCTTCAGACAACGCATTAACTTAATAAAGATATAGATAATTAAAACTCAAATACACAAAAAAAATTAAATGAAGTTAAAACAGTTCCTACAAACATGAAAAACGAACATAAATGCTTGAAGACAAATTATAATTATATACGTGTTCTATATATTTTGGGTTTCACCATGAACATCATTAAATGAATGCTTGGCCAAAAAAAAGTATACGCATGAACATAATGTTACTTTCTATTGCTAGAAAATAATAATGACATCTTCCCCCCAAAAAAACTTACAATATTCAGTAAACATTTTGAAGAATCATGGGGGGTGGGGGAAAGAGATATTAACGATAATGAAATCTTCTATGAAATGCTAAATGTTAATAAAAATAGGTACAAAAATTTAAATATTGAAAATTTTTCTATAGCTTTATTTAAATTTAACTTTCTATGAAATACTTATTTTATTAAGAATGTTGTAGACTTGAATGATCAGTTTTGAAACTAAGTCTTAAACAGCACATCACAAGAAAGGCTTGTCAATCTGTCATTAAAAGCAAATTACTTAAATAAGTACCAAATTAAACATCCACAAAATCCTTTTGTTTATCTAAAATGGAGAAAAATTAAAATTCATGTGATAAAGTTATTTCAAATATAATTTTGCTCTTCAAGTATATTAAAAAGAAAACATATTTGCTAAACAAACCTCACAAGATACATTTTATGTGTCTTTTGATCATCTCAAAGCCATGTTCAGACTGTGTCTCGCCTGTTTCAAGCTAATAAATTTTTTAAATGCAGACTAAAGATGGCTAAAAGGTCTTGCACACATAAATTAATAAATGGTTTTTAACAAAATTTCAAATTCAATACAATTTTGTTGCTTTATTTTTTTAAATAGCTTGTAATACATAAAGGAAGTGAAAATAAAGTTCTTATTCAAAATGCATTATTTAGAACTTGAAAGTAGTCACTGAATACCCTACTGACCCTGACTAGATTAGAATAAAAACCCTGGCTAGAACATAAACTTTCATTTTGCATGGTTTTTCACTTAAGACAACCCAAACGGTAATGCAGTAGTTATATTAGTTATTTAACTAATGAGATAAATCAATACATATACTAAGATATACAATAACCAGCATTTTTACAGACAACTGAATCCTACAATCCAAAACTTACAGGAATTGCAATTACCTGTATATACTAAGTAGTTTCCTTTTACAATGAACTTAATTTGCCTAGAAGGCTCTTCATAATTTAAAGTTGATCACAAACTATCCTGTTGCTTTGATAAACTTTTGATCTTAATAAGAACATCTATTCAAAAAATTTCTAATGCTCTTGTCTTTGATAAAACTTGAAAAAATATTCACCTTACATTTTATGCATGTGAACAGGGGAAAATAATGACAATATTTGATAACAGAAATCTTAAATAAGATACTAATATGCATTAACAACAGATATTTAGCAATACACAAAACGTAAGCAACAGGACAAAAATTTAAGAAAAATACACAGATTCATTTGTATATTATTCATCACGCTGAAACAAATTAAATAATCATTGTATGATTTTAGACATTTGCAGGATTCTGTTTAATAAAACAGGCAATAATCAATATTTCAGTTATTTACTTTAAATACAATTACTGAATCACGCAGTCGGTGCTACTTCTCCTATCCTAACAAGATCTGATGCATTTGGTTCAACATAAACTTCACGGGACAGAGCACGGCGATTTCGCATCAATCTCACACCTTCTAGAATAACAAGACCAAGCCAAAACAGGACGCTCAGCCATGCACCTATCTGTAAAATAAAATGACATGAGAGACAGAAAAAAGTATCACATTTCTACATTATAAATTATAGAAATGAACAAAATTTTACAATTTTTATACTAAAAAAATCTTAATTTGGGAAAAGACTTTCCTACTAAGTAACTTGGCAACACCAGATTTTTGTAAATGGGCTCAAAGATATTGAGAGTATAAAAAAAAAAAGAAAAAAAGTAGCAATAATTAAAGCTGATTTCCAAATACCATGAAGAAAGTTATAAAAAATTATGGTACTTTCTGATTAACTGCACCCCCACAAAAAGTCGCCAGCTCACTGGCAAAAACCATTTGCTTGGCTATCTTTATAACTCATGTACAGTTCTATTCATAAATAATAATACTAAGCATTTTATTCCATCATCATCATAAATAATAATACTAAGCATTTTATTACATCATCATCATAAATAATAATACAAAGCACAAGAAATTTTACAGGGAAAATTTATTCAGTCAATATTTACATTTTCACAGCCGATGACTACTGTTTAGTGAAATGACGATTAGAGTGTACCAATTCATATGTACTCAAACATGCATGTGATATGCTTCATTGCCATTCTTATTTTTCAAAATATGCCAAAACAGGCAATTTTATCAAAAGATGAAAATCAGGGGTGCAGATAATCAGAAAGGTATTAAATTTACTAATGCACAGAATAAAATGCATTTCAATTAACACTTATGAGCTTAATATAATTATCAGAACTGCATAGCTCAAAATTTAAAAAAACCATGCCATACATTTAGAACCAGTTCACAAAATACCCCCCCCCCCAGTATCATTACTGATGCTGTATTACGATTGCATGATTTAGATTAACAGAAATTTTGTTCTGTCATATAAAATATTTTCACTATCAAATAAACCTTATAACAAATGCTAATACAGGCTACTGATAAACGAGAAAGCCTGCAAACAGTATATTACTCAGCAAATAGTAGATTTGTTAATGCTTTGGCCAAATCTGGAAAAGAGTACTAATGCACTCTTAATTCATAACATTGCACACAATATCAAAAAGCTTTGGATTTAGGAGGAAAACAAATATCTGTACATATACTATATTCTTCATTTGCACCCCCTTTTTGGGGGGGGATGGAGGTCACATAAAATTAATTTACAAGAAAAAAGATTTGAAAACAATCTTCAAAAACATTTAAATACATATTTGCTTATGCCTTAACTACCTAGCCAGGGTTCATAGCCACATTTTAGTTAAAAAAATAAGCACCTATAAGCCCTTTTCAAGCACATTTTAAGAAAAAAATAAGCACCTGTCTAATTACATCATACACCTTAAAATTAACATAGCATAACCTTAAAAATTAGAATTGTAATTTAAAATATCAGAAATGAAGTACTTATTAAGAGAGAATAAGGAATGGAAAATAACTACTTTTTTTTTTTTTTTTTAATTTTAAATAATTGTTCAATTTACAGAACTAGTTTACAATGACAGAAAAAAAAACTATGAAGAACTAAACTATATTACAAGATTTAATGATGAAATTTCAGTTCAAAATAGAGAAAATAAATAATAATAAGGCATATTTATTGTATTCATTTGGAACCTAATAATAAATACAATTTATTTTTCCACTCATATTGATATTTAAATAATTTAAATCTAAATTCTGAACATTTTCTAAATTTTCATTGTATATCAGTTTTCTCTTAACAGAAATTGCAAGCAAAGTAATTTAAGTTAAAAAGAGAAACATTTCTGAAATCAGAAATTTGCTTCATGCAGCAATCTTTAACAGTAAAAGCTTAACTAACCCGCATACTTGGAATTGGCGAATATTCTGACAGTCGAGCGAAACTTGAAGGAGCGGAGGCGGGTGGGGGGGAGACTGTAGCCGCTCTTTAGATTTTTCTGCTAATAAATGCTTTTGACATTTCAATATGTGCATCATATAAAAATAAACCAACGGAACTAAAAAATATTCTGCTTAGCAAGCACAGTAAAACGCTTTCAGTTAGTAGGTGTTCATAAACAAATCTCGGATTGAACATCAAAATTCCTTATCTCTGCAAAATATCCCAAACGTTATTGCGCAATACGCGCGCCGTAATTCTTCCCTACGTGATATTACGCAATCGGAATCAACAACTGCCAGTATTGGGAGAATAAAGAACTAAATAACTGGGGTGTTTTTCATTCTAATTTTCAACAGACGGCGTTAAATTTCCGGAATAGAATCATTCTTCGCTTGGGTTGGTAGACCGCAGATTAGTCCTATTCAATCCAGATTGGAAAGTAACCAAAAAAAAAAAAAAAAAAAAAAAAAAAAAAAAAAAAAAAAAAAAAAGTCCGTTGCTTGTTTTGCAGTGAACTGTAACAGTTTCAATATTCAAGATTTTGCGGAGAAAGGGGAGACCTCCCAACCTTCGTACTGTATAATATATTGGCCAAAAAAATGAAATTATTTTGAATGTTCGATTACTTTCCCTTTATTTAAGCCATTCCGAATATTATTCCTTAGAAAGCTAATCTGTGTTAAAACACAACCATTTTTGGAAGTTTACTATACTTCAGAAGTTACTGCAACTATGTTATTATAAACATTCATACATATGCTCCTAATATAAGCATAACGATCATAATAAACATGAATATGAACTGACCAAGCAGAACGAGAATGCAAATTTTTAAGATCTTGATAGAAATTCAAACGTGTGTAGTATTTGGGTGGAAGGAAAAGAATGCCGAATGTAGCCGAATTTTCTACTGCTTTCGCAATTCTTTGACCAATAAGAACGACGGGCACCTGTCTGCACTCTTTGTGCACACCAAATTTTACGTTAATGCATAGCAAAGCTGTTTCAAATATATACAGCTTTGATGCATAGAAAGGGGGAAAAGCTATATCCGGGAGTATGACTCACCATCTGACATTCCATTATTAGGAAGAAAAGTTGTTTATTTAGTTTCGGCTTTGGTACGGGAAAAAATAGCGCGTTCATTAAAAAAAAAAAAAAAAAAAAAAAAAAAAAAGCACTAAAAGCAAAAAAATAAGCACTAAAAACAAAAAAACAAGGACTTTAAAGAAAAAGTAAGCACCTATAAGGGCCTTTATATTTTATTTTCAAATATAAGGACTTATAAGCACTTATAAGGACCGCTACGAACCCTGCTAGCACTACGGTTAGTGATAAATAAGGTTTCCTTTCCTGGGATTTCATGAGCATTCCCCCCCATAGGAAATTTGCTATAAATTCTCGAATAAGAATGTATAAACAGTCTTTGTGCAGTTGCTCTACCCATTTCTATGAACAAACAAGGCTATGGAAATAATTGCTCTGAAACTCCTCTTTACTACTTAATTGCCATTATTTTTCTACTCTCATTAACAATTTTCTTCTATTCAATTCGATTACTCTTTTGCTCATTGATTTTTAATACTGCTTATTACTTTTTAAGGGAAAAATAATGGCAGAAATTGCATTAACTCATTTTTGAACCCAACCAAATAAAGGACTGCTGGTTGAATTTTTAAAGAAGGTATTGATTAGGTTTTTCAATGATGCTGAAGTTTAATTTATTATCTCTCATTACAATCAGTAAATGAACATGATCAAACACAGTGCAATTCCTGCATCCAATGGCATTGAAAGACAAACAACAATTCAGTCAAATGTCTGAATAGTTTTCTATATTTGCTCGCATTCTGAAAGAATCTTTAAGCAAGGTTCTGAAAAACCTTTCCCCTGAAAACCTTCAATTACTAAAGATCACTAGTCATGGAGCTTCTAATGGTTTTCACGTAGCATATCCTTTACAAACCATTTCACTTTAGTGTGTGTGTTGTGATTATGGCAAAGCCTCGAGGGCTATCTGCCTAGGGGGAGGGATGCCTTCGTGGAGGACTTTCTAAGGGAAACTGGCTCGTATACACGTTACACATGGGGAAAACCACGAAAACACCCATGCAGCCAGCCCGTTCGCGGGATTCGAACCTCGGACCGAACTACCAGTATTCAGCGACTTTACCGCTCGGCCGCTGGCCATTTCACTTTAGACAGAGGCAGTTTTTTTTCCAACCAAGTTATTTATTATAAAACTGAAAACTAATCTTGAAAATAAGAACATCATTGCTAAAATGATTATTACCAAAATGCATGAAAATTTTTTTTGAAGAGGAGGACTCACATTTTATTTAAAAAGAGCTTTTCTTTAAAGCATTTTTAATTTTGTATTATTTGCCCATAAATATATTTTAATTGCAAAAGAATATAGTCTTTTTTGTTTGTTACAGAATCTAATTTTTAATTATGCATAAATGGTCAATATTTTTTATAAATTTATATAGATCCAGGGATAACATTTGCAATTTCTTGGGAAATCCACAGAAGCCTGGAAATAAGATGTTAAGATTACTAACATCATTTTGATTTCCTTAAAGTAAATATATGAAATAAAAATATAAATAAATAATAAAAGTAGTGGTATTAAAAATAAATAATTTGCAAAAAATGGTTATTCATATTAAATTTAAAAAATCCACTTGCAGGCTCAGAAAGCTGAAAAAATATTTTAAAGACAAAAGTCAACCTAGTCAAGTTTTAAATAAAACTAAAAATTGATGTCAACTATGATTATGTTCCATTTTGCCTATTTTTAAAGTTCATTTGTGTCCCTAAAATACTCTCGAGAGAAATTGTAATTCAACGACATTGCTTTAAGTTTTCAAAAATGCAGAAAAATTATTGATGAAACAACATTTTAAACCTAATTTATTACAAACTGCATAGTTACTGATTAATTAATTATAAATCCCTTTAAAAGTATTGCAGGCCTTCATTTATTTTTACTACAGTTATTGTAATTTGTGAACCTTTTCTGTTTTATGTTATACCTCTTGCATTTCCTCGCCAGGATGTAAATGAATTAGGATGAATAAGAATATTTAAGCAACAGTTTAACAGGCCATGATTTTGCTGTTGTGAGTGCATGCTACTAATTCTTTCAGATGTTAACCTTAAATACACTGACTACCAATAAGTATTTGGACACCTATGCAAATGACGATATCTGTGGTCCTAAGATATGTCACGGACTCCGCCGGTATATATCGTGTAGGAAACAGCATCAGCTTTAGTCGCGTGCAAGATGCCTCGCAGTTCGGAGCTCTCTGATTTCAAGAAAGGTATAATTATCGGGTATCACAAATGTGGTCTTGAGGGACATATCCTTAAGGGACCTATCTAGTGATCTGAAGTACCCAAATCGACAGTGGATTATGTGATTAAGAAGTGGAAGGTGAGCGGCGATTGTCGGAATGTGTCCCGAGTCGGCAGACCAACGAAACTGGGAGATAGAGACCGAAGAGTGCTGTCGGAAGAACCGCACCAAACCGATGGCTCTCATCCGTGAGGAGTTTCAACAGGCATCCGGGAGTATTGTTTCAATGAATACCATTCGTAAGGAAGCACATCTGCTTGGTTTTCGTGGTCGTGCTGCTGCCCATAAGCCTTTGATCACAAAGTCCAACCGCGCTGCTCGGTTAATGTGGTGCAAAGCACATCGAAACTGGACCGTAGATCAGTGAAAACGGGTTCTTTGGAGTGACGAATCAAGGTTCACCCTTTACCGTTCGGATTGCAGGGTCTGGCGTCTACCTGGAGAACGTCTCCTGCCAGAATGCATTGTGCCAACAGTCAAGTTCGGCGGAGGTGGAATTATGGTCTGGGGGTGTTTCTCCTGGTATGGGCTGGGACCCTTGGTCCCCATTCATGGTAAGCTCAACTCTGATGCCTACTGCACTATTTTGGATGACAATGTGCTTCCTACGTTGTGGCAGTTTTACGGGTTGGACCCCTGTTACTTTCAGGACGACAATGCCAGTTGTCATGTTTCGACGTTAACCAAGGCTTGGTATTGTGCCAATGGAGTTCATCGAATGGACTGGCCTGCCCAGAGTCCAGACCTGAACCCTATCGAGAACCTCTGGGACGAATTGCATTCCTGAATTCAGGGGTGCACTACCAGTGCAAAATCGGTGAAGGAACTTCCATGTCTTCTCCAAGCCGAGTGGAAGAAAATACCACTAGCTGTCAGACAAATACTTGTGGAAAGTATGCCCCAGAGGGTCCACGCTGTAATTAACTCTCGTGGAGGCTCTACCAACTATTGATTGTGAATAAAGTTAGTTTTTCTTTTCTATCGCAGGTGTCCAAATACTTATTGGGAGTCAGTATATAAGCTATGCATTCTTGTTGCCAAATTGCTGTTCTGCCGGTATAAGTTCCAAGTCGATCTGTTAGCTTTAAAGTGAATTTGAATTGAAATTTGTGAGCATATGTAGCTAATTCTTCCAGCTGTTAACCTTAAATATCCAGCTATGAATCCTTGCTGTCTAATTACTATTCTGCCAGTGTTGGTTCCGAGTTAACCTGTTAGATTTAAACCGAATTGTGCAATCTTCTACTATTCCTACCTTTAAATTAAGTATTATGTATCTTTTAAATTCTTACCACAAGTGGTCAGTGTTTGTAAGAATGTACGTGTATTTTACACTCTCCTCCTGGTTGTGCTCATCTTCAAACCTCTTCAAGAATTTGCAAGGATTAACACTTAGGTAGATTTTGCCACATTTGATGATAGCTAAAAAGACTAGATCCTACAGCGTTAAATAAAATACCTATATTTGGTACCTGAAAATTTTAATATGCATATATTTTAAAATACCAAGGTCTTACAGTTTACTTTGTATTTTTATATCCTTTTATTGTAAAAAATTAAATTGTGAATACGTTTTTACCTGTAAAAAATACATAAATTTAATAACTAATGAAAAGTATACTTAAAGGCATTTTATAATATCTGCAGAAATGGTTCATAATTCTCTAAAACAACTTTCTCCGCAAACCTATATGTATACAATTCCTATATGTATACAATTCTAAATGAAGTTTAATTTTATATGAAAGATAATTTACAACAAACAAATTAAAATTTTTACTGGTTTTAGAATGAAATATTGCACTTACTTGAGCAACTGACATTAATCTGTAAGTATTGGATTTCAAAGTGCAACTAAATTGAATTAACAAAATTATTAGAGAACACAATTTTTAGGAAATCAAATTCATATAATTTCACATAGATCTTTCATACTTAAAAAAAATCACAGAATAATAGAAATGAATAATATACCTTTCAGTCTTGTAAAAAATTGAAGAGGAACCTGAACAAGTAATGTAGAGACCAACAGAATACACACAAGCAAAAATAAACATCAGTATTGAAGTAAAGGAATTTAGTAGAAGCCAAGGCATCACCCACATTGTACGCCTAGATTAAATGAAAATCATGAAATCTTGCAAAAATATAAAATATATGAAGATGGTAAAGAATTTGCAAAACTGCAGATAAAAAAAAAGATTTGAAACCACACAAAATGAAAAATTGTTATTTCCAGATGAGCAGGTGACTTTCTAGCAATAGAATATAACTTGTACTCAGCTAATACGACTCAAAACAAATTCAGTGCAGTTTCCGCAGCTTGGGGAGGGATAGAATTTACACTGTCATTATCACAGTTTTAAATGAGGATACAAATTAACTCTTATTGTTGTACTTTCTCTTGCATTTTGAAGAAAAAGATTAAAATTTGGCTCTTGCCTCCTACAGAAAAGCATGCAGTAGATTATTTTCAATCTTATGGGATCCTAGCACCAAAAAAGTGTGTATTAATGGATACAATATGGTCAAACTGAATATGGCTGACGAATTGGTAATAAACTGGAACTGACGAAACAGTAAAGATTGGAACCTGTGGATGAAACAATAAAGATTGGAACCTGTGAGAAGCTTAAACTCATAGCATTCTACACAGAGTTTCTAGTAAAATCAAAGGGCCTAACAAAATATTAAAAAATTGATGAAAGTTTCTTTTTATGAAAGCACAGAAATGAAGTGTGTCAAATACTGACCGTTTCTTAAGAATTTCACAAAAATGATTGTCACAACTTTGGCAGTATCTCCAGTCAACTTTCATGGTCATTGGGATAATAGGTAAGTACCTTAAAATATTTGTAAATATTTATTCGTTTGACTTATTATAAATTATAAATATTATAAATTAAGATCAGTGCTTATTCAGTATTATTACACAAAATTAAAATATGGAATTTTAAAAGTAGCATTTTGCAGTTTTCACATTCTATCAAAGAAGCATTTATTAAAGTTGCTAAGATGAAACTAGCTACCATTTACTGTAAATTCAAACTAATATACTAAATCTAAGTTGACAGGTTTAAAAAAATTACCCAATTGCTATTTTGTTCATTTAAATCTCAGACTCTAAGATAAATTTGAATCACAAAATTAAAAAATGTCTCATGTCATTAGGCTTTCAGTTATCATCCAATAAAATATCATTATTAAACAGACTTTTAGATTAAAAGTATTAGGATTTCTGTCTGAACTACTTACATTTTAAAAAGCAACAAATTCCATTAAATAGCCTGTTAAGAACTTTTAATTCGTCAGCATAACTGATTGATTACAAAAATTATGAACTTAATATTTTATTCAGCAATAATTAGAACAATTGATACTTATCAACTATCCTCACATTTTCGTAGAGGTAACTGGTTTTGCACCAAGAATTTTTGGTGACGGTGGCATGTTGGCAACTCTGCAATGAATGTTCTTTTTAACAATCCACAAAAATTAAGCTCTCAGCCATGTTGTTAGCACTAGTTATCTCCATTAAAGATTCTGCAGTTCCGTTTTCAACTACTTACAAAACTCACTTGTTTCACAAAAAATGAGATCGACAATCTATTGTTCTGGTCAGCATAGTTTTTTTGTTTTGTACAAACAACATGGAATTAAAAAAAACATAAATTATATAGTTTTTTTTTTTCATATTTTATCCTTTGCACAACATACAATTTTTTAGAAGTAAATTTGAGTTAGCATTGTAGTTTATTCCTGATGTTTCATTTCTAGGACCAAACAAGTTATCGATAAGGAAATGTGACACAAGATATTTGGTAAATACCAAAAAACAATCAGTTCTCCTGAATAAACATGTAGAAAGAAAAAATATTTTATAGTAACTTACAAAAGAAAAACACAAATGATATTGCATAAATAATGTAGTGTATGCAAATATATAGTGAATCATATAATTATTAAATCTAAATTTTCAATGCTTGAAAATATTTAGTTTTATTTTTATATAGTATTTATAAAAGTATAATGAATATAAGCAATATACAGTTGAGATAACCAGAATAATATTCAGATTTGTACTCATGGACCATCTGTGAAAACTAACCTAGTAACCGTTAAATACAGCTTTTAGTACATCAGACTAGAATGTTTTATATCATCATAACAGCATATGTTTTTGGATTCTTTAATAAATAAAAAATATATACTGTTCAAATAAAAGATTAAAAAGTTATGAATGATAAAACTCGTGAAGTTTAATACTTATGAAGGAAATTTTTCTATAATGATAAAATACATAGATATAACACTGTAATTGAAAATGCTAAGAAAACTATAATGAACTATTTACTCATTCACTGCATTTCTTTGTGCTAAGCACTCCTTTATGGAAACAAAGTCTCACATTTCTGTTTTATTCACTTTAGCACACTTCTCTTGTTTACCACTTTATGATCACCTATCATTTTAATGTATGTGTGGTTAGAATGTGGAGTTCAGAAAATGCACAAAAAGCCATAAAAAAACAATAATGTAGCACCAAAATTCTCATACTGATTAATTACACCCAACAGTTAAGAAAAATAACTGACGAGTATATTGATTCAGCACATGCCACTTAATGTAATCTTGGTTAATGTTATAATTCAGATATTATAATCAAATTGAAATACTGTCCATTTGTATACAAAAATATGGGAAATAAATCAATCACTGTATTCAAGAATTTGGTTAATATGACCACAATATTATAGAATAAATTTTTTAAACTGAAATAGTCACCAGATAAGTTCAAAACTGATTATAAAAATCACCAAGTGATAAAGAAATACCACCAAATAACAGATTAAGTCACCAGAAAACTTGGTTTCAATTTTAGTTAGAGTTTAGATTCGATCATTTGAAACTAGGCAAAACAACAAGCTCAGTTTGCTGTAGATTTTCAATAACTATTGATTCTGAGAGCAATCAGGCACTGGCCCCTCTTTTTTTCAGAAGCAAGAAAATTCCTGCAAATTAGCCTCTCCACCATGAAAAAAAAGATTCTTTAAAAACACCTATTAACTAATTTTGCTTTTCTCCACTTTGTTTTGCAAGAAAAAATACAGCAATAAAAGTTAATTTGTATCCTTATTCAAAAAACAAAAGAGTCTTAAGAAGAATCAATCGGGATTACAACAGACAAACGCTCAGATGTTACAAATGCATTGCTATGTCATGTTTATCCATAACTGGCACTGAATTACTTTGCTTGTTGACAGTTTTACAGTGAATGGGATAATATGCAAATACCTATTAAAATATTGTAACAAATAATTGTAGCTGTAATAAAGACAGAGTAAATTCTATCTCTTCCCAAGCTATTGAAACTGCATTGAATTTGTTTTCTTGAGTTGCTGAGTTAGTTGAGTACAAGTACATTGGCAAATTCTCTTCCAATGAGAGATGCCCTCCGATTATTAAGATTAGGGATACAGTATCAGTCAAATAATTTTGAGAAACATTATTAATAGCTTATAAAGACACTTTTGCATTAAAGGCATTATGAACAGTTCATCAACGAACTTGTGCCTTTGCTCAAGTAAACTGTTATGAAAGTACTTATTTATACGAATTTAATGGTTGGATCCTAGCAAAGCTTTGCACCCTTGGTGCGAATGATTTTGGTTGGCAATGCATATCAATGTGTACATGGACAAAGTCAAAGGAGTGTGCAATGTCAAGTTTGTGCAATTCTCTGATGTTTACTGAAATGAAAATAGGTCGATGTATACATGGGTACCAAGCTTGTGCAATTCTTTGACTTGTTATTTTCAATTTGGAGATTTTGAAAAAAGTGCAAAGTGTGTCGACTCTCTTAAGATATTACCGTATTTAATTATATTTACATTAAATTAATTAGAATTCATTGCTGTTTTGAAGGATATTTTTCGCACTTTTTAATGTTATCAAAACTGTCATGGACAAATGTGATCACGGGGTTAAGCGGCACTTATTGTATTAGCAATTTAATAACTGATGAATATTATGAATTCATTAAAACTGAAAATAGTTATCTAATTAACTATATAGCTTACAGCTTCCCTTCATTTTACAGAAATTTAGTGGTTGCATTCCGGGCTTAAATTCTACAAGAGTCTGGCATCAGTACTTTTCATTTTTTGAACTAAATTACAATTTCAGCCAAAGCATTAAGATATTCTAGTACTTTGTTGCATAACTGAATCACTGTATTAATTGAAAATTCTTTACTAATGCAATATTTCTTTTGGCTGCTAGTAAAATTGACATTGATACTAGACTGAATTTATACTGCATTTTCCTTTGGCAAAGGGAAATATAAGGAGACATTTTCATGATCAATTTCCTGAGGAGTATTTATAGGTTAAGCCGATCTAGCAAAAAATGCTTTACATCAGTTAAAACTTAATGTAAAGAAGCAATTTCATCCTTTTGTGAAGAACATTGCTAAAAACCACTTTACCCTTGGTGTACCATGGGTTGTCATCAGTAATTTAATCCCCTTAGTTGATATTAACTTAATATATAATTTGTCTGATTGCCATTAATTTATCTTACTTCATAAATATGTTTTTCTTTTTACATTTTATTTTAATCATTAATTAATTACTTTTCTTTGCAGTTTTTTACATCCTTTCATAAAACTATAGCACTTGTCACTTTAGAAGCCTTAGTTATATTGTAATATAATGCATAAAATTATTAAATACATCAAACAAAGGCAAAAATTATACATAAAGAAAATTTTACCCAATATGGTTTTCTCTGGATGCAACAACAGTTCCATAGCCATGATAAATAGCCATAATGACAGCATATATACCTGCAGCAGCAAATGCATATATATTCACGTTACACACGAAATTAGAAGGTGTACTATCTGTAGTTCTCACATAAAGATAACAAGAAGAAAGAGATCCCTGAAATATGCATAAATAAACATAAAATGAAAAAAAGATGAAACTGTAAATTCATTTTCTGTAAATTTTAAGAAATTTTATTCTTCAGAGATTTTTTACCTGCCATATATAAACCCTTTATTTATTTTTTTAAATGTTATATATTTGGAAGAGTTAATAAACTTATTTCATACCAATGACTTTTCACCCCCTCATTTCTTAAAGTAATAAATAAATGCACCTTCCATATAATTAGAACTAAATAAATAAATTTCAATCATTTAGATTTTAACCTCACTCAATCCATTTAAACAATTAGTCCAGAGTATATTCAATCTATTTGACACTTATCTTTTAAAATAAAAGTTATGACAGATAATCATACAGCTTTAAATACAGGGATCAATAAATGGTATCATTTTACTCTGTATCAATAAATGGTAGCAAGTACAGAACCTACAGGACAATGGCTGATGAAAAATTTTTTTACAGTTCTAATTTTTACTAGCATAAAATCTTAAATCAAAGCACAAAAAATTAATTTCCTTTCCAGAAGAATATCTTAGGAATGAAATTATTCTTTTAAATTAAAAGGCAGGAAGTATTTTCTGCCTCAAAAACATATTTTACATATATGTGTGTTTGTGTGTATGCAGATAGAGGTGCAAAATTTGTATACATATAAACTATTTTATCAAGAATATAGTAGAGTTAAATTTAATTTAAATAATTCTCTTGTGCCATTGCTAATATTAGTTAAATATAAACTATTTTATTTATATTCACTACTTTTATTAATTTTCATAATTTCTTTTCCTAGGAGATAATCCCAAAACTACATATGTATATATATAAATTCAAAATAAAGTAATTAAGGTAAATTAAAAAGCCTATGACTTAACTATTTCTTATTATAAATTATATATATTTATACATAAAATAGTATACCAGAATATATATGTGTATGTTCTAGAACCTAAATTTTAATCTATATTTTACCCGAAATGCATTCTCTGTCAAATGTTAACTGAAATTTTCGTTTAAACAGACACAGCAAAAATATGACACAGATTAATTATTTATAATTAAAAAAATATACGAATGTGTATGAATGAATATATATGTATTAAATACATAAATAATAAAGATCGAAATTATATAAGCAATCAGAAAATAAATCTGCGTAGATAGCATGAAACAAACAGTTATTTAAAGAAAACTGATCGAGAAACGCCCACAACCGAAGATAAGCTGAAACAAGAGAGAGTGACAATTATTCTGTAATATTATAATACCAGAATTTGTACCTTGGCATAAAGAATAGATGAAAGTTCGACGATACTGCTGAGAAATACTATGAAGTACAAAACTGTCGAAAAAAATAGTTGACAATGTAGAGCCATCACCACAGAAATTTTATTAGCACCGATATCACAACCTCATCACCCAACAACGACAATTGTCTTTGCACATGACACTATCGCATTTAAAGTATGAACCAGGAAGCGCTTGGAAATTGAACGCCATGCCGGCAAATCATAGAGTTTTACAAGAACAGACTGAAAATAAATTTCAGAAACTGGAAAAAGCAAAACGAAATTAATGACAAATGTAAATGAATGAAAGCAGCCGATAAAACTTCCCTTTTTCCCTAACAAGCATTGAATATTCCCCGCATATTTAAATATCCAATCAGATTCTTTTGCATTCGATAACAAGTAAAAGCGATTTTTATTGGTCGAGAAATATATTTCTCTGACGCAGTTAGAAGTTTAGATGTTCAATGTATGAGGAGAACTATATTAAAAACATTCTAGGATTGTGGTGTATTTTCTAAATTTATATCTTGTCACCTGGACTTCCTCAAAAAAATGCATTTATTTTCAGGATTATCCTAGATGATGACAACTGGCAAAAAGCCTACAACTCCACGCAGGCTAAGTCCGGTACACAGTGGAAGAATGGAATGGGTGTATTTTCTTGTGAATTCTGTGGATTTCCTTTGGACTGCTAATTCTTCTTATTTAGCGTTCAGTGACCAGCTGTAATGAGTTGGGTTTAAAATCGGGTAGTGAAGAAGATTCGTATAATGACTTAGAAATGGATTCTACGGACGTAGTGATATTCTAAAGGACTTGCTCGCCAAAAAAGAGTTCGATAACATTAATTTCATCAATGCGGTAAATTTTCTTATTCGCTCGCTGTATTTGCTGAAAAACGTCGTATTGCGTCTGAATCTTTTCTCATAGCTTATCCCAGAGTACACTGCGGGGGGGGAGAGGACAGTTCTATATCTCCTGTTCTACTGGGTCTATTGGCGAAATTCAAATTGCGTTTTTCATGTCTCGAAAGCGCGACATAGAATATATATTAGATTTATAAGTAGTACTATTCTAACATAGGTATTTTTACACAAGATCAAACTTTTTCTGAAATAACATACCAATTTTTTTACATATTTCGATTCTACGACTCAAATTATGCCAAACTGCCAAGTTTTGTAAAAATCGCATGAGTAGTTTCTAAAACATTAAGATCTCAAAATTTTAGCTCCTCAATGTTAATTGAATTTGGTATATATTTATTAATATCTCTTTCTTATGAAACGTTTTTGATTCTTCCTTTCTCATTTCGAAATTTAAGTTCATTCCAAATAAAAAAATTCACCCATTTTTTTATTTATTTTTAAAATTTATATTTTTAAATAAATTTTATAAATTTTTCGGAAAAAACATTTTGAATTATAAAAACCTATAAAATTTTTACCATCATCTTAAAGTAGGTGTATTTCTAAACATATCTGAAAAAAATTAGAGTTTTTTATATACAATTTTCTAAGATGTACACGAATTTACATATTTTCGCGTTTTGAAATTTGGCATCTTTTTTGAGCGATAATAACGCCAAATGTGGTTTATGGATTTTTTACAGTAAATTGCCACAGCTATTTTTAACCTTAAATCGCAAATACGTTTTTGCGGAGATTTCATTATATGAAATTTTTTCCCTCAATGATGCGAAATAAATATTTATTAATATTATACGAAAAGCTATTTTTTTAGGTTACAGATGATATTATTCAAAGTTTTAATTTTTTTTAGAAATACCAAGATGTTTCGAAAAGTTGGATGCTTTTTAATGTACTTGCAGAATGTCTGAAGAAAAAGAACAAGCCATTAAAATTTTGCATAAAATTTAGTATTTTTTTAAAATTTAAACCTTGTTTAATCTTATGATACTTGATTCTTGCAAATTCAAAAATAAAATATCTGACTAAAATATGAACAACACTTTAAGAAACTAAATGTAGGGTGATAAAATTGTGTAAAGGGCACAACTATAAAACTGTTTAAAGCAATGGTATACAAGTCATCCTAAGTTAAAATGTCGTTTATACATCTCTCTTATTTATCTTTTCTTAACGGCCCATTAAAACGGGTGTTAACTGTGCTTTACTGTATTTTTTCTTTTTTAATATATGCAGTTTTGAAATGCAGCGTAGTCTAGGTCACAAAGTATTTTTCCGAAAGAAACGCAATTGAAATAAATAAAATCAAATTCTGGAAAATTTATATTAGTAAATATATTAAAAAGGCTCAGTTCTAATGAATAAATAGAAAGATTTAGAACAATTATCTGAAGAGACAACTAAAATAAAAGTCTAAAATTTTAAAAATTACCTAAAATAATAACTAGAGTATAAAGAAAACTATTTGAAAAAAAAAATAAACGATGCACCTTTTATTTAAACTTCGCAGTTCGGATGAAGAAATTTTTAAAACAGTTATTTGAAAGAAACCATGCAACTTAAATAATTAAAATGAAATTCGAAAAAGAAAAAAATACTTAAAATAATACAATTATAATTTAAAATATAATATAAAGAACATTATTTAAAAGAAGGAACGAACATTACTTTTTTTCCGCTCACGCACGATGTAAAAAAGGAAATGAAAATAGGTCGCCATAATTAAGAAGTTCCCCAAGTGAACTATTCTTGGCGCAAACTGAAAAAAAAAAAAAAAAAAAAAAAAAAAAAAAAAAAAGAGGCTAAGATAAATTTTTGAGTTTCTCCGTAAATTTCGCACCAAATTTTACAAAATTTAATATTTAGGCATAATTTGAGTCGTAGAATCGAAATATGTAAAAAAAATTGGTATATTATTTCAGAAAAAGTCCGATTTTGTCTCAAAATACCTATGTTAAAATACTGCTATATATAAATATAATATATATCATAAGTCGCGCTTTCGAGGCATGAAGAACGCAATTTGAATTTTGTCAATCGGCCCATTAGAACGGGAGATATAGAATTGTCCTCCTTTCTCTCTCTCTCTTTTTCTTTTTTTTTTTAAATTTCTGTTTCTCTTTCATTGTACGCGAAAAAGTGCATAGTTCACTCTTTTGAATAATTTTTTATATTATATTTTTAATTATAATTGTTATTATTTTAAATATTTTTTCCCTTTTTCGATTCATTTAATTGTTTAAATGATTTCTTCCAAATAACTCCTTCATAATTTTTTATTTATTCATT